TTCTTCTAATATTTTATTGTTTCTGAATATGAAACAAACTGGAATGTCAAACAGTTGGCATGCCAATGACCTATGATTTCATTTGTGAAACAGAACAAACAAGTACAGCTTTTAGTATATCAAATAGCATCATTTGATACCAAATTACATCCTTGGTAGATTAGATTAGTGCTTTACAATATTTAGTGTTTACTTCGTTTTAAATGGAAGTTAAACAAACAAAAAATTATCCCATTGGCATTGATCACGATGCCATAAAACATATTTCCTATTGTTCAGTGGAGCTCAATGTACTATACAAAAGACTACTAAAAAGAATACTGACAAGAAACTTTTTACGTAAATTTATATGTAAGGTGAATGTTTCCATTATATTTTGGATATGTAGAACTAGCTGTTAGGTAATCAGTTGGTTATCCCATAATATGCACAAAAGAAACAATGCCTAACTATGTTTAGGACATGTCAATTTTGTATGGATACTTCCCAAAACATAAATACATTTCTTGATTCTGAATTCTGTGAAACACTGAATCCAAAATGTCTGGATGAACAAAAACATTGATTGGTGTAAAAATAATAATTGCTTCTCCTTTCCTTTCTCTCAAAAAATGCTATGACAAAGGATCTACTCTATTTTGTAGTGTGTGATATGAACTCCAAACAATCTTTTTACAGCTGCTCTTTTTTTTGTTTTGTTTTTGTTTTTTGTTTTTTTTGCTTGTACACAAACATATTCCAAGCACTACATATTAAGCAAATTATGTTTCTCACAAATTTTGTCTATGGCAAAATACAAGACTGTACTCATTATAAACAGCTATTTCTTTGAACTTTGTATCATGGTTGAAAATTTTTTGAGTAATTGCCTTTCCAACTTTTTTCTGCAAATGGTTATTCATCAGTGGTTTCAGTTCAGAGAATGTACAACAACATTTAAATTGTAATGCAACTACAGTGTTTACAACTTTTCTATCACTATAAGTTCAAAAAAGGTTTGGTCAAGTGGATGATATGCAGATCTCACTAACATATAAATGATTATATATCTCAGGGATGAAATGACTTCTTTATCTGTACATGATGCAAGTTATTGTCCCATTCTTTGAATGGACCACTGATAAACCCCATGTTCTATGAATCCAATAGCTTATGTTTACTGACACATATGGTCATGGCGACCCTGCCAACATTCTCGTATTTACAATCCAACATACCATCATAAATTACAATGATATAAAAATACAATGCACTTGCTTTGGATGACAACGCTATTTTCTCACTCTGTTTCATTTTTGGGCTGCTTGGAAGGGAAATTATTCACAAGAAGTAGATGAAGAAGAATCAACGGCAGCTGAGGAAGTTTCCTGCGTCAGCCTGTCATTCTCTTCCTCCCTCTTCCCTACGATGAAAAAAATTCCTTCTAAATGCACCCGTACATGACATGACATTAAAGCACTTCTTTAAACTAAGAGTAGGTCTTTCAATTTTGTAGAATTAAAGATGAGGCTTACCAACTCTACACCGAGAAATAGCAATTCATACTTCCACTGACATTACTCGCTTTGACATTTATTTGGTGCTTTCACCATTAGTAAGTGGAGAAAGAAAAATCACCACAAATAAAATCTGAAATGTGTTTATGTAAGAACCCACTTAATGTCCTCTGATGAACGTATTTACACCTGTATATGCTGGCATCACCTCACTTTTCAATTTTAGTCATTACAGAAGTTTGAAACTAAGCGAAGTTCTTGGAGCAGTAAAACGTTGTCAAGGACTTTTAGGGCAGAATTCTGATCAAATTCCTGTCTAGATTATATATTACTTTCTCTCAAAGTTTTCACCTTGTGTAGGTAAAGCAATGGCTGCATCCAATAGAAATGCAAAGCTTACAGTCAACAATATGTGGCCACATCAACATTTACAATAATTGTAGAGTATAAACCATAAAGCTGCATTTCCTTCCTGTCATTGATATACAGCATTTCTCAATGTTAGTTAATGATGGGATAAAACAGCATTTTCATTAGCATAGATATTTGTTTTGTACCAACTGATTCCTGGCAAGAAGCTTAGAGATTCAGCGTATGACATAATGTTATCTGGATAATTGCCAAGACTATTTTCAATACAAATATTCAAATATCTATGTCCATATCATATAAATATGATGCTATATGATCATGCAACTCCTGACATGGTCACATATGCTGAACAATTTCCCTTTGTCAATTAAATGGAACCTGACTAGTAACATTCACAATAGGAGAAATTTCATTATTGACATAACACACACAGTAAATAGTATGCAATTTCTGTCGAGCTCAATCAGTATACATTGCTAATAAATATGAACTTTCATAAAGTAACCTGTAATATTGTGCTCAGCAGCATACTGATAACTACCAATCTACTCTAAAGCAAAAAATAATATTGTTTAATCAGTGACCTCTCAGTTGTCGAAGAAAAAATGTACACTCAGATTAAGGACCTCTATACATAAAATTCAAATACACGACAACCAAGTGATTAATAGGACATTAAAGTAGTTATAAAACTCACATAGCAGTACATACACACTCATTGCTGTTTAAGTACAAAAGATACATAGGCTGTACACAAATTCATCCTAACTCTTGCTACTACTCAAGGGCCAGAAACTGCAGTCTTGTCACCATAACTGCTTCCATTCGAGCCATCTCACAGTTGTTCACAGGAGCATAATAGATAAGGACTAACAAATATGACTGTTGTAGCAAAATGAAGACCATGGTTTTGTCCTGATGCTTCGGATGTGTTTGAACTGGAACCCTGTATTATGGCGCGTTGCCTGGTCCCTGTCTTTGTTCAAATCTCTTTGTCAGGTCTCTGTTTTCATTTTAACTTAATGATAATTTTTTTGAGCAGAACATCCAGATCTGTGTCTCTCTAACCATTACTTTTTTTCCATCTCACTTAGTCAATACATTCTTATGGCTATTTTCCTACTCATACTAGGTGGGTGCACATTATACTTTCCAAAACTTTGGTATAAATTCTGGGGTGCACTTGTAACTATGTCCTGCATCAGCATCTTGTTACGCCATGCATGATTGCAATTCTTCAACATTCAGCCTGACAACTAACCACAAAGAAAAGGCGATTTGCTTGTGGTCCCTGGGGCTGTTGAAAATGTTGTACTCGACTAGTATGAAATTAGAAGAAACATCTTCGATATGAATTTGTGTTTCCATGTGATGTTGCATCAACTGGCAGTATACTCAGTGCTGAGCATTTTATCATGTCTTGTAGTTTCTTGGAATATAAGGTTTGGCAGCTACTTCATATGTACATATGATATACATTAGTAAAGAGACTTTACCAACACTTATTTCTATGCTGCCAAAGATGCTGGCACAAGAACCTCTTTCAACACTTAAGAGATCTTTATTAAGCTCTTTTAAAATTTACGTTACACACATGCTCTTTTTTCACACTTCTACATCCTATTCACCCTGATAAGTTGGTTACTGTGCTTAATTAAACACATTAAAAACTGGAGAACACAGAAATGTGCAAACTCCGCCACCACCTCCACCACCACCACCACCACCACCACCACTTTCAGCGAACCAGTCACGTGATCGCTGGCAAGAGTATTGCTAAACAGGTGTCACGGTTATAGTCTCAATGTCTCCGATACTCTTTACGCGACGGTGAGTCTCATGGTGCACGTAAGCAGCAGAAGGCATGACGGAGGACCGCGGCCGTGTGTGGTGAGGATGGTGAGTATTTGTCCTTGCAGAGACAGCGGGAGACTGGCCACCAGAGGAGGAAGATTCTCCCCCATTATGGTTTCCTGCAGCAGCTTCCTCTCGCAGACGAAGGCCCAGAGCACGGCTGAGAGATCCCTGTGGGTATTGCGTATGTGTTAGTGGGATAACATAGGCAGATGGTTTAGAGAGAGGGAGAATTTTGCTGCAAAAACTTAAAACTAAAGAAAATAAATTCCCAACTACATAAAGGTTATAGAATGCTCATAACAGCCTTATGGTTTTCTCAGCTCATATTTCATATCTTATTGTATAAAAGAGCTCTGTCTAATATAAATACAAATACTGAGTAGATCAGATACACTTAACTTGCAGAAAAGAGTAATCTTTCATTTTGCTTACCATTCCAGTCTGTTTGCTATAAACTTGGTTAAGATTTAATTTAAATGTACTAAAATTATAGTAATAAATCTAGGTTCACAACCCTATAGAGGAAGTACAAAAGGTACTAGGCCATTGTCTCTGTCAGGTCTATACTACAATGCATAGAATTGCTTGCAAAATCTAGTCATCCTCAATAAATAAGTTTAGAATATGTAAAATAGGAGTTTTTAGAGCATCTTAATAATTGAGAAAGGTAATATTTATATGAATGTGGTATCATTCATATGTATACATTTATTTCTCAATAAAAATATGGAACAATAAAACAAATCAATAAGAATATCAAATAAATGATGAACATCTACTCTTTAAAGAAGATTATAAAAATATTCTTTGATATTCACTATACAAGAGGTAATTAATGTATAACAAGTCTTTAGTTTGGAATTTCATTTAACTTCATAGAACAACAGTATGACTAATTAAAGCTATCTAATAGAACTGACATCCAATGACTACACAAAAAGATAAAGTTTTGCATGCAATAAGCAGCAAAATGCAAGTATATACTTCATGCACGTTTAACTGCATAGGTTTACACCAAAGAGGCCAATAAATTTTACTCCCTTTAGAATTAAGTAAGAAAATCTAATTGCATCTTGAAAGTAATTGTATATCATTTATATTCCACAGAAAAAAAATACTGTTTGCAACCAACTGTCATACTAGGATTAGGTAAATTTATATATTTTCTGCTTTACTTAGAAAAAAAAAAAAAAAATGATGCACTAATAAGATCTTTAGCATTTGCAAAAGCAGGGAAGCCTTTGCAAATTCTGTTAAATATATACATCTTGTTCACAATGAAACACAGTGACATATATTCACACAAATATAAATCTGTCCATTCTCTTGACCACAAATTATTAAGACCAGGGTTGCAGGCAGTGAAGAAGATAGAACAAATATAAGCCAAGGAATACATACATGCAGGCGGGGTAGAATGTCTCCTAGGATAGTACCTGTGAGCTCCGCCAAGTGCCAAACTTAGGGACAAGGTGAAACAAGGCTTAATCAGTGATAATGTTTTTTTGAATTTGGTGTGTGTACATATCACCAGGAATTTGGGTTTTACGACTGTAAAACTTTGTATTCCGTGGCCATTAGAAAAATATGAAGTGGATTTTGTAAAAATCAAAATAAAACTATGTGATAATATGTTTTGACAAAATATGTTACTTCAACTACTGCTTTTTCTATATTCTGATTATGGCAGAGCATACAGCCAATCAACTTCATTCCTTTTCATAAAATACAAAAACATATCTGCAATGAAATCCGTTCCAGAAATCTAATTAAGTGTCCCTGTGTTTCTGGCACAGCTAAGCTTGAAAGACAAACCTATCTGAGTCAATTTATGTTTGGAAATTGAGAATATATCAGGATTAGCACTGAATCCACGAATTTCTTCATATATTTTTCACACTGAAAGAACTGTATGTAATCAGCAAGCAACTGCAGCTAGGCATCACAATCTTGTCTTAGATATGCACGGCAAACCATTTGTACAGAGTGTAAAGAAGAGTATCAGGAAAATATCCTTTCAGCAGTTCTGCAAGTAATTCTTGACTACAGCATTTTCTTTCAATTATCTTTATCTTTTTATCAAACCAACTACCAAGAGATATGACTCATCTACCAGACAAGCAGTAGGAAGTAACCAGCATCATATGAAATTAAAGAACCAACTTAATCTTAACAAAAAAAAAAGAGTACTGCAACATGCGTCTTGTACCTTTGATGGGAGTGTGGGAAATGCGCAAACCTTTTTCTGCAAAGGCTGGGCATCCCCCCATCAGTGTTGCGAAGTGCAGCACAGAACGGAAGCAGGACAGAAAAAGGGCAAAAGAAGGATGGGAGAGTTAGTGAGGGTGAGGCTGAATCTTTTCTAGTTCTCCTAAAAGGGTTTCAGCTAATTTGTTTTTGGTGTATTTTAATGTGCTCTACTCCCTAAAAAGAGCCCACACTAAAGACAAATAGTGTCGCTGTAGACAAATGCCGCTTAAAATGCGTGGAGATGGAACACTTGTTCAAGAGAAGCAAAAAATTAACATGGCATGGTATGGATGTTCAGCAGCTGATGTTATAAAGCTACATTCAAACATTCTAGAAACAGCAAGTAAAGGTATATATTAGGTAAATTTGCTTTAAATTTTGGGATACAAAAATCTGGTGGCAACTGCTAAGCCTATGAAAAATTTAAAGCTGAAAGCTGAGGAAGCTCAACATCAACAACAAACATACATGTCAAAGCAATTCTATACACCAAAAAAGAATTGACGGCCCTGCTAACTTTTAATAAAGAAAAGGCGACTTAAAAATCATTTAAATGTCTCATTTTTAGGTGTTGCATGAAAGCATCATTCAAACCCTTCAAAGTGAAACTATACATCCAAATTTTGCATTTTCTTTGGAGAACTTGTGCATCCACACCATGTGCTGTGTGACAGTAAGTGTACCAGCAGAGATCAGATGTACACAGTTGTAGTCAATCATTCACAAGCAAAGCTTTCCAAAGAGGCAGTAGTAAAGCCATAAATGTATTCTAAAAAAACTGCCAATACATCATAATTTTTCTTTTTTGGCAAAGCTTTGAGCACATTCAGTGAAACACATTGCAGTAATTCTTTCCGGTCTGAGCCAAGTATAATGCCAGACACTTCCAACAGCAAGTAAACTGCCCCTATGAAAGCCAGTGCAAAGATGTGAAACATTTGTACTCTGGGTGGTCCAGTTTTACTAACTTCAGCTATCCACTCCTGATTGTGTTTGCAGAATAAAATGTATATTAGTAATCAGGTGTAAATTCAGGCCCAGTTATACTTATACTAAGGTTCTCCGCATTCCAATTGGTTGGCATCTGTTACCAAAATCTAATACTAATTTCCTAGTCTAAGTCATTGATCATAATCCTTATAATTTCTTTCTCTCTTTCACTCTAAAAATATTTGGCACACATGCAGGTCTACAATGGTCTATTGTAGGTAATGTGACGTGGCAGTGAATATATTGTGAGAAGGGATTTATGTGATTTATTTTCATGTTATTCAGAAACATTTGGAATCACTAAAGCATTCCAAAGCTACAACATCCCCTTTATAATGCTATACATGATTTATCTGCCTGCTGTATGAATTAGTCAAAGACAAAGCTAAAGAGCTAGGTACTCTCTAACAGTAATCGAAGCTCCACTATTAAGCCATATCCTAAAATCGCCCGGAAATAAGACATGGTGCCCTTACTCTCAAGGAAGCTCGCCTCTTGTCCTTCTCGCCCTTCTCCAGCCCCGTGCCGTAGCTTCTGGAGAAGGACCGGCCGAGGCTCCCTCCGGCCGCCATTTTCTCCTGCCGGCGCCGCTCCATCTTGGCGAAGCGGGCCTGCTCCTCAATCTGCTGTCTGTTGGGGAATGGAGGCTGTTAAGACGGCAAGATAGATGCTTGAAAGCTGTGAAGACTAAAATACAGCTATCAGACAGGAGGACTCTACTTGTGACAAACGATTTTGTAAACTAACTCGCCACGTTTTTGAAAATTTGAAAATCAAATTTGATAACTACCTTTTTTCCTGGAATTATCTGTTTTTATCTAAATCTCATAATAACTTCATTAAACTCAATACGTTTGCCTGAACCTGAATATTCACGGACCTCCAAGTTTACAAAATTACAAAGCACTGTATAAACAATAGAATTATAACCTGTATAAAAGCACAATAACCACTACAAAGATGTTTAAACCCCACAAGACACAAGAATCCAACCTGGCGGGGTTAATTAGCGCCTCCATTTCAGTTGCCAGGTGTCTGCGGATTATATTCTTGGACTGCGGGATGCCCAGCGCCGTGGCCATCGTGTCTGCAGTGAAGGACGACTCCAGAACCACGAGGGCGCCGTGAACACCGCTGTCTGTAATTCAGTTGAAATATTAAATATATGATACGGTGGATAGACCAAGCATTGTATGCAACATAATATAGTATTGTATGTATTCTGTTTCAGGATCCAATCTTAGTGGATAACGATTACAGGTCTACAGTACTCTAAATAAAACCAGAAATGATAAAAGAATTACTTAATAAGAGAACTAACGGAAGAAAAAGACAAGAAATAAAAATCGCCCTTCAGCATACCCTTGAGGTTATCTGCGTACTCCGCCAGGTCGACCGAGCGAGCCCATCGGACCCACCGCACGTTCGTCCACACGACGGGGTCACAGTCCACGTGCTCGCACTGCCGTCGGCGCTCCGCTAACACCTGCCGCGAGTATATATTTTGTTTTACCGGTTCCTACTAGACTTAATTTTCTCGATATGTATTTTTTGTTCTCAAAAATGAAGAACGGATGAAATATTTTGTTATGTGAAGAATTTTGGTTGGTTTGCGTGAATGGTTTCAGCTTTACCTGTCTATCGAATCTGACGATTCTCAACAGATGGACACCGTGAATGATCGATGCTTGGTGGAACTTCCGGTGAACCCCCAGGTGCTTCTCCAGCTCCTTCTTCGTGAGCGCCTCCAGGAGCCTCCCATCCACGAGGTTGTTGGCGAAGGCATCGGCATACTGAGGAAGGCCAAGATCTGGAAGCCACTCGGAGGAAACCCAAGTGTGATTGAGTGCGGAGATTCTGGGGAAGCGAGTCAGCCGCGGCTCGCGAAGCTCCTCGATGGCTAGCCTGAGCTTTTTGCGGTGCATCGGGTGCGAGATCCCGAGGCCGGATTCTAACTCAGAGTCGCTGAGCTCTAGGAGAACCTGGAGGCGGGGAGACATGTCAGGTTCCAGTCGCTATTAACTCATCCTTACCTACATTCACAAAAAAACACTTATAGTGCTCTAGCAACGTAGCTTATTTACAATATTTACGCAAAAAAACTGAGGAAGCAAAGCCACGGGGTTTTACCTTTCCGCTTCGAATATTTTCTGCACACATGGCACCATACTGGGGCATGCCAAGGGTTACTTCCAGCCAGGCTAGGACAGTTGGGGCTTTCCATCTCTCAAGAGGAATGTGCTGAGCCTCCTCGAGTAATCTGAGCTTCTCGGAGTAACTCTCCTCAGTAAGGGGCGAGGCACACAGAGATGAACTTGGGGACCACGAGGCACGCTTGTCACTCGCGCTTCCTACAGGTCGTGTTAGCAACAAAGGATTTAGCTACGTGGTGGTTATGTCTGCTACGTCGTAACTACTCTAATGCTATGAACTTGAATTCTGGAACTGGGTTAGTACGGCTTACTTTACGTTATTAGTTTGCACTCGTTGTACTAATTTCTGTGTTTTTGTTATTAAGAAAATAATAAGTTTACATAAATACGTCAAAAAAGAAAAATATCAAGGCATACTGCTTTATGGTCTGCCTCTTTTGTCAAAGTCCTACATACAAAAATAGACAAAAACAAATTATATTATTCAGTACACTGTATACTAACACACACTGCTCTGACAAAACAAAGACAATATTAATGTTAGTAAGGTGCAATGTTATCTAGGGATGCTTGGCATCAGCATGGTTCACTGTGGACGGGAGGTCCTCTGAGCTTGATATGCCTACAATTAAGCAACAGAAAAGATGGTATTACAGTAAATATTGATTTTACATATTCGACAATGCCTACAGATCATAAGCAAATTACATCTGTACACAAAAAAATGGTGTGTAGTAAACGACGAGATTTCCACACTGTAAGCACTTATTGTGATCAAGGTATATCCTCATCAGTATTGATCCTTCCTCCCCTTACCATCATATAACGAGGCATCGAGGGCCGCACGCTTCTTCTGGCGAGCGAACACTCTCGAGATGGACCCCCAAGTACCTCCTCCCTTGTGGCTCTTCCTCGTGAGTGTGCTACAACCTCTGATCTTTGACGATTCCGCGGCCTCGGCTAAGCGTTCGCAAAGTTGTTCCGCTGACCGACTCAGCCCCCCGGTACTAGCATTGCTGAAATGGACGTTTTGAGGAGTTTGGTTTTGTAAACTTCTTCGTTTTTTTGTTTGTTTGTTTGTTTGTTTTTGCTACTCACGTTGAGAGGACGATCATACGATGATAACATGAGGAGACGAAAATAGATTCCTCTCTCTCTCTTAATTTCCTACCTATAAAATCAGATTATACCAAGAGTATATACCAATTAAAAAAAAACACTGAAACACACAATGAAACACCCTCTCGATACACTCCCCTTCACGTCACATACCTGCTCGCAAGTCCACTCATGGCCGACGAGTTGAGACTTGCGGCCGAATGCGTCGGGACACTGGTGGGGGTGTTGTCCCCGCCCCGGTCTTCGCGGTCCTCTCCTCGCAGAGATACTGGCGTGGCGTACAGAGGAGATAGAGACGGGGATTCCTTAGGGGTTCCTGGTCCACCTATACACACACACACCACACCAACTTCATGAATCAAAAAAGCAGTCCTACGGTGGATTCTATAAGTTAAGAGTAACCAAATATATGCTAAATCTACCTGATTATTGCAAAAAGGGGTAAAAGGGACCTTTCGAACATTAAGCTTTAAGGTAGCTTATGCAAGACATTTGTTTTTAGATTTTTTTTTTAAATTCTAAGGGAAGGAAACAAGTTTGTTTTTGTAGATAATAAAATCTGCATATTTACTCATAGTTGTTCGAATTGAGTGGAGTGCTTTTCTCCGATTTTGATTTTAAAAGAGTTTCCCCTTCCATTGCCTTAGTGACAAAAGATAAACAAGAAGGAAAGATTCCCCTCAAATGACAGACACCCATGCTTTTTAATAGGCTTACGAACGGTCAAGCTGAAATATGTCAGGCCATATTTATAATTATGAATTTTGCTTTTAGAATATCTAAAATCATCAGAAAGCAGAGAGTAAAGGCACTCTTTTAAACTGCAGCTCATATAATCAAAGTCTTTATAACGATGAGATCTGGAAAGAGTTACAAGGATCTAATCTTCTTATGCATTTAATTAGATATATTTTCATATCACTAAAAGGTCATGCAATGTCTTCAACAAACCCAATCTGAAGCTCTGAACTACATGTGGTTTTGACTGAGCTTTGTGAATTACACATCAACATGTTCTAATAAAAAAAAACATAGATTAAAACAGAAATCAACATCCCACATTACCCCACAAATCACAAAGATTACAGAAACAAACACACCCAAAAATTTGAAATATATAAACATTCACTCAAAACCACACGTAGCTCTCAAGCCAGAAACACCCCCTACGGAGCCAGGGAGGGCCACAGAAGTTACCCCCTCCCCTTCCCCCTCCCCCCTCTGAAGGTGCCACAGCCAACTCCCCCCCGAGGCTAGAGAGGCGGCCACTAACAGTCTAGGCAGCAACGTACATGCATAGTAGTAGTGGGAAGCAGCTGTAGCTGAGGAGCATATGGATAGCGTGTCACAGTCCAGAGATCCTCGTTCCACAGTAATGGTAGGTGTGCCTAGAGAGGATCCGGGTAATTCCGTTGCGTTAGCAGGGGGAAAAAAGGGGCGAAAAAAGGAAAAAAAAAAAAAAGGCCAGACTCTTAGGGTGTGTCGTCCGAGGAAAAACACCCTTTAGGTCTAGCATGAGTTCCATGGGTCTGGACTTAATTCTTTAAAAAAAAGGGAAAAATATCCAGACTTGTGTGGTTATCTTCAAAGCGGGTGTATAAAATCAGGCATTTATAACTGGGTGAAAAACGGGCTGAGATGCGTTCAATGCATGAAGCTTTCTACTCAAAATAAGTTATGGTATGGTCTTGTAGGCTTATACATTTATGATTTTGGCAAATCTAATGCTAATTTTAGGGTATTTGTTGGAGTTGTTTAACTGCTTTAAAATTAAGAAGGGATTTATGTTCTGGGAGGAGAAATCACTGTGATATGAATGGTAATATGTGAAGAAAATATCACAACCATTCCTTTTTTTCCATAGTGTAAATGTCAGTCCATGACAGAATTTGATATTTCGTGAATCTTTGACAATAACAAAAGGAAAAAAATAACTGATTTTATAATTCCATAAGTTCTGGTATTTTTTCCACTTCTTTTGTGTATCCATGTGCTGTATGGTGCTTCTAAATACCGTTCGTATGAAGATGCTAGTTATCAGTACATGGCTACAAAAACCGCAAAGAGGTGTGTGAAAACTAAATGTATGGATAAAGTTTCCTGTGGTTTACAATTCTGCACCTGACTAATTCTATTCAAAAAATGTGCTCATATGCTAAATCTGAAGAATGAAAATTTGTCATCATTACTCAACTACTAGTGAGGTGTACTGCTATTGGGTGTATTAATCAAATGTCAGATTCTGATTATTATTGGACAATAAAACTATTGGCTTGTTACTATGTAGCAACTGGTAACACACTCCTATGTCTATCTAACTACGAATTACATTTATATTAGACTATCAAAAAATTAAGCTGAACACTGCACACAACACATCAACAGAGCTATAACAGTGACCCGTTACCATTACAAAACACAAAAACCATTTTCAATTCTAATCTGACAGAAAACAAAACAAAACAAAGAACGATCTGTCTTAACAAACTTGACATAAAAAAGGAAAGAAATTAAGACAAAGGCTTTTTAAAACCTCCCTGAAGATAGCTTTATCCCGCCCCGAGATATATGAAAGAGAAAGGCGTCTCACATACCTTCATGACTGGCCGTTGAATCCCTATCGCTCGACAGCCTCACGCCTGAATCAGCAGATGAGCCTCGGCCGTTGGGTGTGGGCGTGGGCGTGGAGAGGGGCAAGGGAGAACACGCGGGCGTTGAAGCTGTGGGCGTGGGCAGCCCGTTGGTCCTGACAGACTCGGCATCACTGTGATATCCCATAGAGATGAGCTGTTTGCGGACCTGCAGTTGCAAAGGGGAAAACTGCTGTAGGTCAGTCCCCATGACTGGAACTGCTCTCGTGGGGGGGAATTCTTCAGCCATTGAAAATCTCAACAATGACGTTCTTATCCATACTTCCATTGTCGCCCTTACAACCTTCCCTTTTTTCCAACAATTATTAAATAACTAAAAATCTCTGTTCTATCCACAATGATGTTTTAATTCATTCAACATCCCCAATCTCATTTTTCTTCCCGGAATTCCCATCGATTCCTAATCCCTTTGAGCGCCTCCCTCCCGATTAGCCCTACTCGAATCCGTCAAGTTCTTCCTGAAATCCCAACTACCGATTCCCTTAAATATCTGAAATCCCGCTCGTTTTACCGCATCGAATTCTTCCTGAAGCCTCTTTATGAAAACCCTCCCGATTCTCCCAGGCATCTGAAAAAAGTCACCCAAAGTTCACCTAAATCATCTCCTTTATATAAAAAAAAAATCTTACCCTAATATCTAACCCCCCTTCCCCTAATTCTCCTAAACATCCAACCCCCCCCAGCTTTCCCCATACCATTGAGTTCATCCTAGATCTTCTTTCAGACACCCTATCCCCCCCTCTCCCTTCTCCCCTACTAATAACCCCCCCTCCTCTCCCCCTCTCCTCTCCTCCTCTTCCCCTCCCCTCCCCCACACACACCCTCAAAACACTTCCCCCTAACACCCTTAGTTACCGCATCGAGTTCTTCCTGGAGCTTCTTTCAGACACCCCCCCTCCCCGTCTCCCTTCTCCCCTACTAATCACACACCCCCTAACGAAAATCTCCTCCCCCTCTCCTCCTCTCCCCCTCTCCTCCTCTACCCCCACCTCCCACCCCTCCTCACACACCCCAAAAACACTTCACCCCCTAACACCCTTAGTTACCGCATCGAGTTCTTCCTGGAGCTTCCTGATGGTGGTTTCCTTGACCCCGAGCTCGGCCGAGAGTTTGACGACTCGCTCAGACTCGTCCCGCGCGTGCTTCAGGATGTTCCACTTTTCTCGCTCCGTCTCGTCTCGCTCCGCTGCCAGTTGCCGTAGGGACTCGTCGCTCTCCTTCATGCGCTGGGGAAAGGGGGAGGAAGAGGAGGGGTTAGAGTTAGTGTTGGTGGGTTTGGTGGGTTGGAGGTGGGGCTTGGGGAACTTGGGAGGGTGGGTTGGGGGGTGGAGGAGGGATTAGGGAGGGTGGGTTTGTGGGTGGAGGAAGGACTTGGGAGGGTGGGTTGGTGGGTGGAGGAGGAACTTGGGAGGGTGGGTTGGTGGGTGGAGGAGGAACTTGGGAGGGTGGGTTGGGGGATGGAGGAGGGATTAGGGAAGGTGGGTTGGGGGGGGGAGGAGGAACTTGGGAGGGTGGGTTGGGGGGTGGAGGAGGAACTTGGGAGGGTGGGTTGGGGGGTGGAGGAGGAACTTGGGAGGGTGGGTTGGGGGATGGAGGAGGGATTAGGGAAGGTGGGTTGGGGGTGGAGGAGGAACTTGGGAGGGTGGGTTGGGGGATGGAGGAGGGATTAGGGAAGGTGGGTTGGTGGGTGGAGGAGGGATTAGGGAGAGTGAGTGGAGGAGGAACTTGGGAGGGTGGGTGGAGGAGGAACTTAGGAGGGTGGGTGCGAGGATGGAGGAGGAAGGATTAGTGGGAGGTGGAGTAAGTGTGGGTGGAAGGAGAATTCGTGTGGGAGGGTGGGTGGAGGAAGAATTAGGATGAGTGGGAGGATGGAGGAGGAGGAATGAGAGGGAGGATGGGTGAGTTGCGTGAAGGAGGAGTGGGGAGGGGCAAGGTAATATATGCACTTGAAAATAAATATATACAGTTTGTTATAACACAGTACCCTCCTCCTCTCCCCCTCTCCTCCTCTCCCCCTCTCCTCCTCTCCCCCTCTCCTCCTCTCCCCCTCTCCTCCTCTCCCCCTCTCCTCCTCTCCCCCTCTCCTCCTCTCCCCCTCTCCTCCTCTCCCCCTCTCCTCCTCTCCCCCTCTCCTCCTCTCCCCCTCTCCTCCTCTCCCCCTCTCCTCCTCTCCCCCTCTCCTCCTCTCCCCCTCTCCTCCTCTCCCCCTCTCCTCCTCTCCCCCTCTCCTCCTCTCCCCCTCTCCTCCTCTCCCCCTCTCCTCCTCTCCCCCTCTCCTCCTCTCCCCCTCTCCTCCTCTCCCCCTCTCCTCCTCTCCCCCTCTCCTCCTCTCCCCCTCTCCTCCTCTCCCCCTCTCCTCCTCTCCCCCTCTCCTCCTCTCCCCCTCTCCTCCTCTCCCCCTCTCCTCCTCTCCCCCTCTCCTCCTCTCCCCCTCTCCTCCTCTCCCCCTCTCCTCCTCTCCCCCTCTCCTCCTCTCCCCCTCTCCTCCTCTCCCCCTCTCCTCCTCTCCCCCTCTCCTCCTCTCCCCCTCTCCTCCTCTCCCCCTCTCCTCCTCTCCCCCTCTCCTCCTCTCCCCCTCTCCTCCTCTCCCCCTCTCCTCCTCTCCCCCTCTCCTCCTCTCCCCCTCTCCTCCTCTCCCCCTCTCCTCCTCTCCCCCTCTCCTCCTCTCCCCCTCTCCTCCTCTCCCCCTCTCCTCCTCTCCCCCTCTCCTCCTCTCCCCCTCTCCTCCTCTCCCCCTCTCCTCCTCTCCCCCTCTCCTCCTCTCCCCCTCTCCTCCTCTCCCCCTCTCCTCCTCTCCCCCTCTCCTCCTCTCCCCCTCTCCTCCTCTCCCCCTCTCCTCCTCTCCCCCTCTCCTCCTCTCCCCCTCTCCTCCTCTCCCCCTCTCCTCCTCTCCCCCTCTCCTCCTCTCCCCCTCTCCTCCTCTCCCCCTCTCCTCCTCTCCCCCTCTCCTCCTCTCCCCCTCTCCTCCTCTCCCCCTCTCCTCCTCTCCCCCTCTCCTCCTCTCCCCCTCTCCTCCTCTCCCCCTCTCCTCCTCTCCCCCTCTCCTCCTCTCCCCCTCTCCTCCTCTCCCCCTCTCCTCCTCTCCCCCTCTCCTCCTCTCCCCCTCTCCTCCTCTCCCCCTCTCCTCCTCTCCCCCTCTCCTCCTCTCCCCCTCTCCTCCTCTCCCCCTCTCCTCCTCTCCCCCTCTCCTCCTCTCCCCCTCTCCTCCTCTCCCCCTCTCCTCCTCTCCCCCTCTCCTCCTCTCCCCCTCTCCTCCTCTCCCCCTCTCCTCCTCTCCCCCTCTCCTCCTCTCCCCCTCTCCTCCTCTCCCCCTCTCCTCCTCTCCCCCTCTCCTCCTCTCCCCCTCTCCTCCTCTCCCCCTCTCCTCCTCTCCCCCTCTCCTCCTCTCCCCCTCTCCTCCTCTCCCCCTCTCCTCCTCTCCCCCTCTCCTCCTCTCCCCCTCTCCTCCTCTCCCCCTCTCCTCCTCTCCCCCTCTCCTCCTCTCCCGTATTATAACCAAAAAAAAAAGACTGATGTGATGTGTACATGTGCGTGTGCGTGTGTATGTGAAAAGCAGCATCCTCCGCAAGAAAACAAAATTTTACCTGCTCATAGTTTCTGATAAAATCCCTCAATTCCTTTTCCTTGTCTTCAAGAGTCGCGTAAAGTTGCTTCATCTGGTTCAGTAGATCAAACTTCTCAGCCTTTAAACGCTTCCTATCCGCCTTTAAGGCTGAAAAAAGAGTAAGACGTTACAGATCAATCATACAGTAGCAAAAAAAAAAAAATGTAAATACCATACGTGCTAATTAACCGTATGACTTCCATGGCCAATATTTAAGGACTGAATCTCAATCGAGGTTTGACGGAAGCTTGAATATAAACATTTATACAGAGAGTATCAAATATTTATGAATTCTATACTCGAGTATCTGGAAAAAGATGATATCGAACAAATCCTGACTTTAGCAGATCTTGAAAGCCATGTAAATACACTTTTTGTGATATAACGTTAAGAAGTATAAACATATATGATAAATATGTCATCTAATATAATGGAATAAAGCTCCTGCTGGCAAAGGACCACCCAAGGGTGAAAGACCACCTGAAGGAGCACCAAAGGACCCCGAGAAAGACTATCCGAAGGACCACCCAAAGCTAAAAGACCACCTGAAGAACACCCAAGGGACCACTCGAATGAACCACCTGTAGGACTCACCAAAGGACCATCTGAAAGAACCATCTAAAAGCCCCCCCCGCCCACCAGAAGGACCCACGTACCCGAGAGAGCTTCCTTGGCGTGTGTGAGTTCCATGGTCATCTGGTTGATCTGGGGCTTGAGTTGCACGTCCTCCTCCATGATGGTCTTGACCCTCCGTAGCTCCTCGACCTCCCGCTGCAACGACCGGTTCCTCGTGAGCAGCTTCTCGTTGTCCACGCGCAGCTGTGACATCTCCTCGGCCAGCTGGTTGCTCGAGCTCTCGCTGTGATCTGCGGGCGGGAGACTTTCTTACTGGGGTGGCTTGGGGGGTGGGTGGGCTGGTGGGCTGGGGCAGTTGAGGGGGGGGTTGGGGGATGGGGGGGATGGTGGCTGGGGCATTTAAGGGGGTTGGGGGATGGGGGGGATGGTGGGCTGGGGCATTTAAGGGGGTTGGGGGATGGGGGGGATGGTGGGCTGGGGCATTTAAGGGGGTTGGGGGTGGGTTGGATGGTGGGTTGGGGCAGTTAATGGGGTTGGTGGGTGGGTTGAAGGGTGGGCTGGGGCAACTAGAGCGGTTGGAAAATGATAAATGGGGCAATTTAGGGGTTGGAGGCAATTAAGGAGATTGGGGCACTTAGATGGTTGGAAGGGGTAGGTGGGGTAAGGCGCATTTGCAGGGGTTGGGGGTAGGGGTTGGGGGCACCTCGGAGAGGGGGCACTGGAGAGGGGGGGGCATTGGAGCTGGCTTTTGGTTGCTGGCTTTAAACTGACCGATTGCTGAAGGGTTAGGGCGAGAAGCGGGAACTTAATGAAGTTGATAATTGATAATATATGATGTGATTGCATGGTTGCAAACTTTATGTACTTTCTCCGGTTTAACTGTGATAAAGACATCAAAAATCTTATTTACATACATACATTCACACATACGCGTGTACATACATATATACATATATATATACACACATGATTATATATATATATATATATATATATATATATATATATATATATATATATATATATATACACACATGATTATATATATATATATATATATATATATATATATATATATATATATATATACACACATGATTATATATATATATATATATATATATATATATATATATATATATATATATATACACATATATATGATTTTATATATATATATATATATATATATATATATATATATATATATATATATATATATATATATATATATATATATATAAACACATTCTAGATAAGCTCGCTTTCCTATCGCCATGAGAAGCCACACAAACGATAACGCAAACGGTATCTACAGTATTGCGGTAAATATTTGAGTCTTTATGGTCATACACAACTTGGATGAAGGACAGCCCTACTGCTGCGCCGCCAAACCGCCTCTACCTGTCTTTCCAGCGCTGACGCCATTTTGGCCTCCAGCTGCAAGGGGAGGAGCGAGCGACTGGCCCCAACTCTCGGTTACTTCGTTTACCTCAAGCGCCTCCTGATAATGCTCTTCCTCATCGAGCTCTGGCACTTTACTCGCTCCCTCGGCCCGACTCTCCCGCGGGACACCGAGGTATTTCTTGGCCTGAGGCTTTTCGCAAGGAATCGGTCGCGTCTTCGCGTGCGGCAGCGGACTGTTCTTGGCGGACGGGTTGTAGTCGTCGATGAACAGGTGGATTTCGCTGACCAGGGAATCCTCTCCGAACGCCGGAGTGCCGGCGGCGCAGGAGGCCCCCCGGGAGTACTCGGACGACACGACCTTCGTCACGTCGTCCTCGAGGCCGGAGCCGAAGTGGAGGTACGTGATGTTGTGGTTCCCGCCGATCACGGCGGAGACGTCGACGCTCGACTGTCGGCGGCTGTGGCCTACTTCCGCTTCGACGCCGGCCTTCTTGTCGATGGTACTGGAATGGCTGTCGCTGCTATTGAGGTACTCCTCGATCCTCTCTATCTTGTCCTCGTAAGGCTCCAGGCACAGCTGGATCCCTTCCTCCTTTTCGCGCTCAGCGTCAATGTCAGTCACGTTGACAGCGCTGCCGATCGTCATGCCGTCGTCGTCGTCGCTGGAGTTGTACTTGTCGATGTTTTCGGTCGGCCTGGCCTCGGGGGTGCACACCTGCTTCTGGGAGCTCCCCGATTCCTCCAGGATGGTCCCGAGTCTCCAGTCGGCGGAGTTGGTGGCCGTGTATATGACCGGCCGGCCCCTGTCAGGATCATCCCGCAAGGGGCTTATGCCGCTGACTGGGGAAAGAAGGGTCGGATCTCCTTCTTGCAGTTCCATTAAAAGGGATTCGATGACTTTCGTTGACTGTAAAGGAATGTAATGATCCTGTCGCTTACTGCTGTGAGTAAAGCAATCGGGCGCGGTCTGGCCGCAGGCGGCATCCTTCGGAGACGGGGCATGAGAAGATGCCTCCACGTAGTTAGAATTGAGTTTGCTTAAATCGGCTTGGACTTTTTCTTCGGCGACATCCTGCGCAGGCTCGGTATTGGGCTGGCTGGAAGCATCGCTGTCAATGTCTCTCCACGTCTCCAGGTTCGGCGGCCTGAAGGTGTCGGCGCCGATGCTTTTGTTCTCGCTCTTCGCCTCCTCTGCGCGCGCGTCCTGGCTCGCCTCGGGGCACGAGTGCACGGACAGCCTGCTGCCGTAGGAGGCGATGCTCTTCGCCGGCACCGTCGAGCTGGTCTCGGAGCTCTCATTTTCTTCAAGATAGGACAGACGAGACACTTCGCCATCGATGTCAAGGCAGGTCACGGAAAGACGCTGGACATTATTGCAACCTCCTCCTGGGTCGGTGAGTAAATTTAGGTCGCTCCCATGCGGGTTTATTACCCTACTTGACCCGAGGTCACGAGAGACAGCGTAAAACCCTACACTATTTCCCATCGCGGTGTGAGCCCTGCGGCCAGAGTGCCCGCACTCATT